TTTTTCTTCTTAGTTACATGATGCAGCTGGAATCTGGAAATAGACATTTGAAGGGAATATTCTGCCTTTAAGCAGGGATATTTCTTAGGATGGAATGCCACAAGAGAATATACTGAAAAAAGGGCCGGGGGAATGCACCCCCTACATTTCTGGGAAAGATCTCTGTTCCCAAATAGGCTGGCATTTGTCCTCATCCCCAATATCACTCGTCTCTTGTTCCCACCCCATCAAATGGCAATGATAAAGACAGATTTTGCATCTGAGGGATGCGCAGCTCTCTCATTTGGCACAGAATTATGGCACTATGGTAACCATGTGTGGATTTCTACTGGGTGCGTACTGAAGTTGAAGGCTACGTTGGACTGAGTGGGGGCTTATGGCTTGCTCTATCTGACCCCTTGAGTTGCTTAGTAGTTAAAGTATTGAAATAGGAGCAGGGGGTGGAGCAACTTTGCTAAAGGGCATCAGGTGTCAATCTGTCAAAGGGCTGGTTGAAGATGTATATTTTGCCTGGTGTCTAAAGGTGTATAACAGGGGTACGCAAACTAAGGCCTGGGGGCCGGATGTGGCCCAATCGCCTTCTCAAGCTGGCACGCAGATGGTCCAGGAATCAGCGTGTTTTTACATGAGTAGAATGTGTGCTTTTATTTAAAATGCATCTCTGGGTTATTTGTGGGGCATAGGAATTTGTTCATTCCCCCCCCCAAAGTATAGTCTGGCCCACCACATGGTCTGAGGGACGGTGGACTGGCCCACGGCTGAAAAAGGTTGCTGACCCCTGGTATAGTGAAGGTGCCTGCTGAACCTCCTTGGGGAGAGCATTATAAAATTATTCATGGCATGATCAAAGCAGATAGAAGTTTTTTCCTCCCTCATAATCATCATACAGCCTGTGGACATTCAGTGAATATGAATGTTGGAAGATTCAGGACAGACAAAGTACTTCACACAGCACATAGTTAAGCTCATTATGGACCTCATTCCCACATGAGGCAGTGATGGCCACCAACCTGGATGGTTGTAAAATATGTTAGACAAATTAACGGAGGAGAGGGCTACTGATGGCGACTAGCTATGATGGCTATGCTCTGCCCCATGGTCAAAGGCAGTAATGCTTCTGAATACCAGTTGCTGGAAACTGCAGAAGTGGGGAATGCTTTTGTGCTTGGGTCCTGCTCAAGGGTTTCGCATTAGGACAGCTGGTTGGCTACTGTGAGAACAGGATGCTAGATTAGATGGGTCATTGGCCTGATCCATACTGCAGCAGGCTCTTCTTAAAGGTAAAGGTAAAGGGACCCCTGACCTTTAGGTCCAGTTGCGGACGACTCTGGGATTGCATGCTCATCTCGCTTTACTGGCTGAGGGAGCCGGCATACAGCTTTCAGGTCATGTGGCCAGCATGACTAAGCCACTTCTGGTGAACCAGAGCAACGCCGTTTACCTTCCCGCCAGAGCGGTACCTATTTATCTACTTACTATCTATTTATCTATCTATTTATCTACTTGCACTTTGACGTGCTTTCGAACTGCTAGGTTGGCAGGCTCTTCTTACCTAGGTTCAAATCTTCATTCAGTCATGAAGCTCATTGATAAACTTGGGCTCATTCTGTCTCAGCCTCACCTTATATCACAGGATTATTGCAAGTTTGAAATAGGGAAGAGAGAGTTTTGTCTTCCATCCTACCAACTTAGAAGACGGGCAGAATAATAATAATAATAACCTGCAATAAAATAATAATAGCACTGCAGGATATTCACTCACTATAATTCCTAAATCTGAAGAAGTGTGCATGCACACGACAGCTCATACCAATAACAAACTTAGTTGGTCTCTAAGGTGCTACTGGAAGGAATTTTTTATATAGTTCCTAAAAGTTAGTGAACAAGTAATTGGGTTCAGTTGGAGATTACAATTATACAAAAGAGAATTTTGGCTGATTGGCATTCTGGGTGTATCTCTCTCTCTCTCCCCCCCCCCAATTCTTTCCCTCTGATATTTTCTCTGGTCAAACAGGTTTTGTGGGATTTTGTAGCAAGACAACCCCCTCCCCCCAAATTGAACAAACTGGAATGTGTTCATTGTGGAAAATGATGTCACTATATCAAAGTACCTTCAACTAGGGGGTGCAAACCCCAAACTTTTGCTTGAATCTGCAGTATGGGAGGAGGTCACCACTGCAATATTTCCTATTGAGGAAGGCTCCTATGCCTTTAATAGACAACTTGAATAGCTTTGGGAAGAGTCGAGTCTCTTGTTTGCCTCGCCATTAGAGAAGACAGACAATATTGGCATCTCAAGTAATTTATTTAACGGGCCACTTAAATAAATCCTTCCTCATGCATGAATGTTATCAACCCTCTTTCTCTTACATTTGTCTCCTATCAGAAATTTTCCATGGGAGGATTATCCAGAGAGGGAAAGGAGACCATTAATGCAGCATCAGTTAGCTTATTTCAGCTGGAAAAAAAGCATTAATATTCTTGCAAATGTGAGTGGGAGGGGGCTGCTGTGGGGTATGGAGGAGCAAATAAATCACAAGTAGGTTAGGCCTGGAAAGTATATATTTGCAAAATTACTAGGGACACCATTGCTGTGCCAAGTCAAATGCACAAATTATTCCAAGTTCACAGGAATGAAGAATGAATTACGTTGATTTCAGAAGTTCTGGTGCCACTCCCCGCTGACTATTGTGCTATTGGTCTGCATACAGTTCCAGCTCTTGACAGGGAAGTGCATGATTAAATAGGAACCCCGGTGCCTCATTTTCTGCTGTTTTGTGCAGGTCAGGTTAGGACATAAGAAAAGGCTTAGAAATGAACAGTCCGTGGAAATGCTGCTACCTTCTCATTTTGGTGCTGGAAAGATGGCAGTTTGATGGCTGTCTTTACTGATGAGTTTAATAACTGTTGATGATTTGCAATTCTGCACGATCGCTTATACACCACCCACACCCCATCCCTTTCATATAAATTCCAAGGCAATTTACAACTATACAAGAAAAACAACAGTTAAAGGTTGGGTGAAACAATATAAATAAACACCCAAGGCAGAGACTTAAAGAATGTCAGCTTTATTAACTATGAACCCTGGAATTTTGGATCACCTCCAAACCAGTGCCAAAGCTTTGTAGTCATTTTGTAGGGTTTTATAGTGTGAACCCGCATTTTGTAGCACCCCCCCCCAAAACTGTGTAATTGATAATCTACCTGGGGGTCATAGCCTAGGTATCACCCAGAAATCCAACATTGTCCAATTCAAATTGGATGGCTGCCTCAGGTTGCTGACTTTGGGTTATATGAAAGGGGCAGCAATTTGCAAAATATTTTTATTTATTATTTTGGTGTTTTTTATGGACAAGGAGCAGGAGAGGTGCTTTTTGGGTTTTCTGCCTCAGGTGCTAGAAGAAACTGGCCAGCACCTTGGCTATCATGCACCTTGACTTGGGTTGTGGGTGTGGGGTCACTGGTCACCCCTCCTTGTGGAGCAAAATATCTCAGGTCAGCTCTGGATAATTGTGTGAAAATACATTACTTAGAAGTAAGTCAGCTGAATTTCATGGGGATTACTTCCTGATAAGTATGTACAGGAGTGGAGCCTGAACTGGTTAATCTTAAAAATTCAACACAGTTGGGATAGGCTGTTCTTATTCAGTTAGAATTGAGAACCCCTTGCTAATTGTATTTTTTGTGTTTTTTTGTTTTCTTACGAATACTGCACAATTAATTATACTCCATTTGTTTAGTCACTACTTCTAGACCAGATTAAAACAGCAAACCTAAAATTATAGACTAGATCCAGTTGATTTCACATTGGATTTACTTACGGGTAAACATGTTTAAAGATTGCAACCCTGCAGCAATTTACTACAGAGTAGACTTGCTATGGATTATGCTGTGCTAGTATACTTATATTGATCTAAATTGCAATGAACTCATTGGGATTTACTTAGGTGTTTAGGTTCTGGGTGGCAGTACACAGTGTTTGAAAATCAGTTGCTCAGTTTGGGGGGCACTAAAAATGTGGAGTTTGTGCTACAAACCCTAGAAAACGACTACAAAACTTTGGTACCAGTTTGGCGTGAATCAGACAGGGTTGGAATTTTGGGTGGTACCTATGAATCCTGGTTAGTATGAATTACTCAGCTTGGGGGAGCCAACAAAATGAAGAGTTTGGGTCACAAAACCCTACAAAATGACTTCAAAAACTTTGGCACTTTGGGGTTTGTAGTTAATGAAGCTAAGAATGTTGTCTGTTGTTAGGTGCCCACACTGGAATGCTGTTTCACAAAACAGGAACAGCCATGCTGAAAGTCCTGCTCTGAATTGTTTTGGATCAGGCTTCTAATATTTTAGAACTGCAAGGAGAGATTCTCCTGAACAACACAATGACCTACTGCGTGAAGAGAGGGTAAGGCAGCCTCCCGATTCCCTAAACCTTAAACGCCAGTGCAGATTATACAGTCAAGGGGTGTTATAAACTGGCCGTAGTTTGCCTCACAAGCAGCCTAGGTGCCATATTCTGCATTAGTGGCAGCCTCCAGACAAACTGTGTGGGTACCCCACCTTGAATGCATTGCAGTAAATGTGAGATCCAACATAATGTCATTCTGGGCAAGGAAATGCTTTAAGGATGGCCAGGTACCATCCAGGAAGGGTTAGGTTAGTTTGGCAGGTGTGAGAGACAGGACCTTTTCAGTAGTGGTCCCAGCAGAACACTCATTCTTGGGAAATGTGCAATACCCTTTGTCTTTCAGGCAGATCCTAATGACATTATTTCTTTCAGATGGCTTTTGATTGTGGGTGCAGTAGCCTATTTTAGTTTCTGTTGACTGGCTTGCTGAAATAGATTTGGTTTTATTGTCTCTGCTTATCGAGGTGTGCCATTTTTATTGTGCATGTTTTCAGCTGATTTTATCAGACAATGTGACATTGAGAAAATACTTCAGTTTCAAAGATGACTTAACAAGCCTATCAAATAATTATTTAAAAATGCAGCTAACCTGTTTTTGTCTCTGTGTTGTGATCTACCAGTGCAGATAGTGTCCAATGATGTTTTCTTTCTGGCACTGCTACACCTATATCTAGAATGATAGTTTTTTTTAGTCTATTCTCCACATATGGTTAAAAAAGGCAGCTACAATAGCATGGTTGGGGGAACCATGAAAAACCAAGAAATTGATGCACCCTGTTTCTTTCAGTAGGTTCATTTACTAATGGATGTGCATTCACTAGCCTAGAATTGCAGCAGCATGCCCAGGGCATTGCTAAATTGGAGAATGAGTTAAAGTAATTAGTGTATTACTGTGTATTACAGGATCATTAGCTTCAAAGCAAATGACCTTGGAATCCTCAAACTTTCTCATACTCTGTCATTGTGTTTCCACCACTAGTATTTTCTGTACCACCTCATGTAATGGGCTTCTCTTTTTACGCTTGGAACCTCCTTTGAACTCTCTGTGATTGCTGCAAATCTAGTTAAAAAGCATCTGTAATAACAAAGAATCTTGCAGCACCTTAAAGACTAGCAAATTTATCGTGGCATTAGCTTTCATGCACAAGAGTCGATTTTTATCAGATGCATCTGATGAAGTGGGCTATACTCCACAAAAGCTTATGTCAAAATAAATCTGTTAGTCTTAGATGTCACAAGACTCTTTGTTCTTACTAATGCCCTGGGCATGCTGCTGCTATCCTATGTTTCATTGAAGTTCAGGTCACTGATGGGGAAACTGGCTTGCAGAGGCTCAGTACTTTTTCTTGTGATAGTATTCGCCAGTACTGTTCTGAGTACTGTCACCTCTTTTGTTCTGCCCCTAACAGCCATTTTGTGCTGATGCCTGCAGCACTTTTGCCAAGATATCAGTACCACACCTAATTTAAAAAATAAAAAATAAATTAGAAGCAACAGTAATGAAAGCACTGGGGAGACTGAAGCTTATTTTCTCTCCCCTCCCCCAACCATACACGTGTTTAACAAAAATAAGAGCCTAGTCTATAATACATTGAAATTAGATGACCTTAGATGGAGTTTTGGGGGCATTTTAAAATGTGATTCTAAAACTGATGTTTGAATTTTCAACATATTAACATGTAATTAAAGAGCCGCAGAAGGACACTGAACAAAAGGTATACTTTTAAAAAAAGCTCTTTTCCTATTGCATTAATAGCATTTGGAGGTGACCTATTATAGGCTAAAATATGTTCCTTCTTTCACTTTTGAAAGTGCACTTGGGACCTGATTTGAACATTCTGTGCTTCTAGCGCTCAGAAGTTCCATGATCCATCTTCCACAAATAATGCTGTAGCTATATGATAAATAGTATAAGCTTTTTTAAAAAGTTTTAATTCAGCAATCTAATATCTTATACAGTGGTACCTCGGGTTACAGACGCTCCAGGTTACAGACTCCGCTAACCCAGAAATAGTACCTCGGGTTAAGAACTTTGCTTCAGGATGAGAACAGAAATTGCACGGTGGTGGCGCAGCAGCAGCGGGAGGCCCCATTAGCTAGAGTGGTACCTTAGGTTAAGAATGGACCTTCAGAATGAATTAAGTTCTTAACCCAAGGTACCACTGTATAATGTTTCAATATAATCCATATCGCCACCTAAAGTCTTATATTAAGAAACTTGATGAATTCCATGCAAGCAAGTATATATTGTTATAAGGCAAGGCCCCCCAAACCACTAGATTCAGTAAAAGGTTAGAATCTGAGCAAACTCATAATTTCAAGAATTTAGTAATAGCTAGAAATAACACCATTTAGTTTCCTCGTGAAGCCAGCCTGGTGATAGCTCGTTGGGGGTTGGTTGATAATGGCTTGGTTTGTTTGATAACGGTAAGCCACCTGCAAAACATAAGACTCTGACCAGTATGGGCTAGTTTGTCCACCTTTGGTCTCCACCCTGCACTCAGCTCTCACCTATGGCTCCTAGAAGCTGTCAGCACACCCCAGGAACGGCTTCGAATGGCTGGCTAAACCAAGTGAGGGTTGCTGCTAGGTATCAAACCCTCGGTGAGTTAGGGACTTCCCCTGCATGCGAAGACAGGCTCTGGCGGATTGAGTGGATGAGACCAATAGTGGGTCCAACGGCCAAGAAGGAGGTTTCTGCACGTGCTATAGAGGGAAGTGAGGGGCAGATGGGGCTCGTGAACCTGAGAAAGTAGCCCATCTAGGAGAAGGAAAACTTCACTTCTTCTCTTTGGGAGAAGAAAGGCTAAAAAGTATACCCCACACAATTCTGGAGTGGAGTCCCTAAGACAGTTGGATGGTGCCTAGTATACTTCCTCCTGGCAATTCCTGCAGCCAAGCTGGTGCTAAATGCATTGTTCTGCTTTCCTTGAACCACATCAGCGAGCCTGGGGTGTGTGTGTCTTGCCCTATGGGCAGCCCAGGACCTCCATACACACTGCCAAGGCTTGTGCCCTGGGGAGATCACTTCAGCACTGCAGCGGTTTGGCTTCACCCCTGGAGGCACACTCCATTGTCTCTCAAGATGCCAACAACAACTTTTAAGGCCATCCAAGTTATTGGCCATCACTGCCTCCTGTGGGAGTGAGCTGCATAGTTTAACTATGAGCTGTGTGAAGAAGTCATTTCCTTCAACTGTCCTGAAATCTTCCAACACTCAGCTTCTTTGGATGTTCACAAATTATAGTTTATGAGTCAAGATAGGCAAAACAGCTGTTTTCAATGAATTCCTTTGTTGAATTTGTGACATACGGATTTATGGATCAGCCACTCAAAAGTCAAGGAGTGAGTTCCTCTGGAAACTTTACTCCACAGAAATCAAGACTGAATTTTACTTAACCTGTCAGCCACTGTCCAGTGAGCAGCCTTTTCTGGTTTATTTGGCACACACCACAAAGAGCATTTTCACACCCTGAACTAAGAAAAACCTATCAACATGTCTCATATACTATTTATACCATATGAGTAAGGTTCATAGGATGCAGAATCAGGCCTAAAACTGAAACAAGGGGTACAATCCTCCCACCTATTTTGATTGATTTGATGCTCTTTAGAAACAAGAAAAGTTTGGGTATAAGGAGAGGGCTGAGAAATAGGCCAGAGTTCTAGTGTTGTTCCTTCAGTTTGTATCTTTGAATTCCCTGTACACTAATTCTCATCTCCAGCTCTTCTGACAGGTTTCAGCTTGCTTCAGACACAACCTGATGAAGCACCTAAGAGCGTCAGGAGCCAAGTCACAGTTATTGTTCCTTTTATGGTTGAAGAGATTAAAACTAATGAAATTTGCAAGCCGTGGCTATGATCTCCTCTTAACTGATTTTAATCTCCCCTAAGCTGCTTTTGAAGTAGTTCTACTTTCTGGTATTGTGAAAACTGTTCCAATGCTAGCTGTGCCCCAGTCTTATGAAGGACATCTGAGTGCATCTGTTGAAGGAGGCCCTCGCTTACTTCAGCCTTGATTGGTTAGTTGGTTGGTTGATTGATTGATTGATTGATTGATGTTGTTCACCAGACTTGTTTAATTTACAGAGGATCCTACACAGGATTCTTACCACATATTTGTTATGCCTTCAGCTTTAAGTGATTATACACTCTGAGCATACACCCTTCTTGAAGAATACCAGCATAAGGCCCACCCAGTCTAGCATTGTTTGGATAATTCCAGCAACCAGGGGGATGCGGGTGGCGCTGTGGGTAAAAGCCTCAGCGCCTAGGGCTTGCCGATCGAAAGGTCGGCGGTTCGAATCCCCGCAGCAGGGTGTGCTCCCGCTGCTCGGTCCCAGCGCCTGCCAACCTAGCAGTTTGAAAGCACCTCTGGGTGCAAGTAGATAAATAGGGACCGCTTACTGGCGGGAAGGTAAACGGTGTTTCCGTGTGCGGCTCTGGCTCGCCAGATGCGGCTTTGTCACGCTGGCCACGTGACCCGGAAGTGTCTCCGGACAGCGCTGGCCCCCGGCCTCTTAAGTGAGATGGGCGCACAACCCTAGAGTCTGTCAAGACTGGCCCGTACGGGCAGGGGTACCTTTATTTTAAAAAAAGAAAAAAAAATCCAGCAACCAGCGCACAGTAGTTGGTCCACTGGAAACTGACTAATGCTCCATTGTAGTTTTCCCAGGCCAGTAGTCCACTGGTGGATTACTTGTCCTGAGGCACTGAGAGGTGATTCTCACATCGTAGTAAGAAGATATAAAAACCCCTCATAGAAACCAAATGATATTGTCACTCATTGAAGTGGTCCTAGTGTCATGGAGGAGGGGGAGTGAAAATGAAGCAAATTGCTGCTACAGTATCACATGAGTTCATTGCTCATGTAGTGTGAGCTGTTAAAACGCACAAATAAGCAGCCAATCTTAATTTTCAAGATAGCCATAGCTTATTAATTATACATCACCGTTTTCTAATAGAGTACATGGTGACACACACAAAAACTGATCATTTTGTTGAAAGGGGAGTTCAAATTTGCCAGCACCGGAATATTGTTCAGATTTCAGTTGAGAGCTTATTTCAGGGGTGAGCAAACTTTTTCAGCAGGGGGCCGGTCCACTGTCCCTTAGACCTTGTGGGGGGCCGGACTATATTTTGAAGGGGAAAAATGAACGAATTCCTATGCCCCACAAATAACCCAGAGATGCATTTTAAATAAAAACACACGTTCTACACATGTAAAAACAACAGGCAGGTCCCACAAATAACCCAGAGATGCATTTTAAATAAAACTGCACATTCTACTCATGTAAAAACACGCTGATTCCCGGACCGTCCGCGGGCCGGATTTAGAAGGTGATTGGGCCCGATCCGGGCCCCGGGCCTTAGTTTGCCTACCCATGGCTTATTTCATACAAAAGACTCCAAAGTCTATAACACTTTGATCACCGTTCTTGTCTGGTTCAGTCTGCCTTGGCGGGATTTGCTCTGGGTTATTTCAGGTATCTATTCCTGATAACCCCCCTTTGGTCCATCTTGGCATCACTTTGGTAAATTGTCCTTTTGTTCAGGAGGTGGGTTGGGCGGGAAGCATGATGATGAAGAATCTGGCTCAATTTCCCTCCTGTCTCAAGAATGGTGATTGGAAATAATTGGAAGTGGCACTGGAAGTAATCGGAAGTGACA